TATCTTTTAGATCATTCCCAACGTCTAGGTAAGAGACAATGGCACCAAAGAAATCACATCTTCTAGACAATGCATCTGCAACAACGTTAGACTTACCTTTGATAGTGTTCAACTCAAAATCAAAAGTATCAATGAATGCAGACCATCGTACTAGTTTATTTGAGAGCCTAGGCTGTGTCTTTATCCACTTTAGGGTAGAGTGGTCTGAGTACACAGTGAAGTGTCTCCCTAATAGATAGTGTTTCCAGGTGTCTAAGGCACAGACTAATGCATACAATTCCCTTTCATAAGTAGAATTGGCAACCTTTTCAGATGGCAATCGTGCAGACATAAACTCAATTGGTCTGAAACCATTGCCGTCGTTTTGTTGAAGAACTGCGCCAATCCCATACTGACTTGCATCAGTGGTGACAATAAAGGGAAGAGATGGATCAGCAATTTTCAGAACAGGGTAGTGAGTCAGAGCGTACTTTACCTTTTTGAACGAGGATTCACAATCCTTGTCCCACAACCAGATCGTTCCTTTCTTTAACAATCTTCTCATTGGTGCAGCGATCAATGAGAAGTTCCTGACAAATTTCCTATAGTAGCTTGCCAAGCCAAGAAAAGATCGTAGCTCAGTTACAGACTTAGGTTGTGGCCAGTCTCTAATTGCTGATATTTTCTTTTCTTCAGGCCTGAGACCATCTTCGTTCACTATATGTCCTAAGTATAAAACTTCAGACTTAGCGAACTCAGACTTCTTCGGGTTAATTTTGAAGTTGCCTTCTCGCAACTTACTCAAAACTAGACGAAGATGCTTCTCGTGTTCTTCCAATGTTTTACTATATACGAGAATGTCATCCAGATAGACGATGACGAACTGATCCAACCATTGACGAAATAACTCGTTCATTGACCGTTGGAATGTAGCAGGAGCATTAGTCAATCCGAAGGGCATTACCATAAACTCATAATGGCCATACSTGGTCCGGAAGGCAGTCTTGTGTTGATCTGCGGGTTCCACCTCGATCTGATGGTACCCAGACTTCAGATCAATTTTACTGAAGTACTTGCATCCCTGTAGTTGGTCAAGTAAATCGTCTATGCGAGGGAGTGGTTCGGCATTCTTGACAGTGACGGCATTCAACCCTCGATAGTCAATACATAGACGCAATTCACCTTCCTTTTTGGGCACAAACAAGACAGGTGCTCCATAAGGAGATGAACTAGGGCGAATCCATCCCTTGTCAGTAAGGTCCTGCAGTTGCTTCTTTAATTCCTCAAGTTCCCTGGAAGACATTCGATAGATAGGGCCCTTGGGAATTTTAGTACCCGGAATAATCTCAATAGTATGCTTTATAGTGCGTTCAGTAA